GCCTAGCCATTATATATCTGTCTCTATATTTCCATTTTTATCATAAGTATATACGAGAGGTGAGAACCGGACTTGGCTTGGTGTTTATTAGAGACTTTTATAAGAATGAGTTCTAGATCTGTGATCTCCATATGCACGAAAGCTCAGCCCTTTTCCACCTAAAATGATGGAAGATGTCCCACAGACTGCGGTACAAAGGGAGCATAAAAGATCGAAGTAAAAAAATCCGGAGCATTGGACTCGGCAAATACGCCAAGGTGGGAAGCCGTCGCTGCCTGTATGCTATCTCTCTGGGTATCTGGTTAATTAATTACTTACCAGTCTTGTATGTATCAACAATTGAGTATACTTAAATAGAAACGTGGCTTGGCCTGTTTAGTCAGGTAGATTAAATGGGAAGACCGATGTATTGAAGTCGGTGACCATCTAATTGCAGCATCAATTCTTGTGTGAAGTAAAGCAACGTGGGCTAGATTTGATGTATTGTAATGATGCCAATCAATGTAGTGACTGAGAATAGCCAGTAAGGGTCCTTGAATCATCGACAACAAAATGTGCCTAGACTCACAGCTCCTGTTTTTCCGTTTGATGCAAGGCAGTAGCAAAAACTTGCCGGCTAAGGTAATTAAGATAGGGACGTTGGATGACGAGAAAATCAAAGAGTAAGGGGTAGTCTTAGCTTAAGCCATTGTAGGAATATTTTAAAGACCGGTAAAGGATAGACAAATCTTAAGCATCAACCTGGGGGAACTATTTAAACCCAAAGTAAAACATAATTGCCACTTGAAATACAACTGTGCTGGAGAGCTCACAAACGAATGCGAGTAAGGCAATTGATTACAAACCAAGTAAGATGAAAATCACAGAGGAAATATTGAAATAAAGAATACACAACAGTTCTTGTTGAAGCCCATATGAGCAAAAAACCAAACTAGCAAAATTTATATACCCTGCAAAAATCGATTACATTGATTGAACACTTAAAATAACCACTGTAATTTTTTTTAATGGAACAGGAAGCGAACAGCAAACCTAGATGAAGTCAGATTTTTGCAGAATTAAGAGGGAAGCACCAGTGATCAAACAAAAAAATCAATATCAAGGGCACGCCTAAGAATGGCGGATTTAATGGTAGTCAAACCAAGGAATTAGATACAAATTGCGATAATAAATAACTGAATTATATAAAATGCAGAAATTTAGTAAATAAAAACGTAGGTGACCTAGAGGACAAATAAAAATGAATTGCGAGAATAAAATGCCAATGGACCCAACAAAGTACTAGTCCGAAGAAGATTTTGGCACAGAGAAAGGCTCAGGGACGTCAAGTGTTCCACTATCAACAATAACTACCCTCGAGAGAGGTCTGTCAAGGGAATCCGTTGAAGTCTTCTCAATAGCTCGTATCACTTTCATGCCATCCAAGACTTTTCCAAACACAACATGCCGACCATCAAGCCAAGTAGTTGCTTTGCATGTAATAAAAAATTGACTTCCGTTTGTATCAGGGCCAGCATTGGCCATTGACAACCAGCCTGCGCCATAATGATTGAGCTTAAAGTTCTCATCTTCGAAACGATCACCATAGATACTTTTCCCTCCCGTGCCATCACCATTTGTGAAATCTCCACCTTGAATCATGAAGTCCTTGATAACACGGTGGAAAATGCTTCCTTTGTAGCCATATAAGTTGCCATCAACATCAGACCCTTGCGCCAGACTCACGAAATTCTTGACAGTCCTGGGCACTGTACCACCGAATAGCCCAATAACCACGCGTCCAACGTCACCATCGCCAATTTTGATGTCAAAATATACCTTGTCTGTGACTTTAGGTCCTTTAGAATCATCACAATTGACAGTGAGTAGAGTTAAGACCTGATAAAAGAATAGGAGCCCAATAATATAGGAACGCATGACCAAACTAAGTAGGCCACTTAACACGTAATTTAGTGTGCTTGATCGTGAATAACAAATATAGAGAAAGCATGCTTGTTTAGATGTTAATTTGTGAATAGAACTATATTTATATACATTATTTAGATAATTTAATCATTATAAACAAATTAAATTGCACATTTGATAAAAATTTCAAAATATAATTTTTAATAGTACATTTACTCAGCTCATTCTCAAAGTGCTTTAGTACTGTATTAATTTCGCTATACAGCTTTAGGACAGTGGAACTATTTTAATTAAATATTTTTATTTGTAGTTTTTTTTGTTTTAGCTTTGAGGTAAACAGGAAAATTATATAAGTGGGCGCTAGAATACATTAAATTGAAAGTTGAAAGTTTGAAAATGAGACTAAAACTGAAGTATTGCAACACATTAGGGTCATTCCCAAAGAGAATATCACAATTTATCAGCATATCTAAATATATATACTCGATTGGCATGCTTTAAGCGTATGGTTAACTTATATTCCTTATTCGGACATTTGAAAAGCAAAATAGTGTGGTCGCTATTATACACACAATCTCCTTATCTTGTATATAAATGGCTTGAACTCGTTTTTGAAATCTATGTTTATTAGTAGGAAGACTTAAATGGGTGAATCATCTTTCATATTAATCATGAAAAATTGCAACATCAGAGCGTGTTTATAGTAGATTCCTATACATTTCCCCAGCATCGTAGTCGGAATCGTCTTGCTAATCTTGAAACCGAGATAGACTTGTTAATGAGGAAAAGAAACAATTCCGTGGTCAACATTCTGCCAAAAAATCGTGGTATTTCTCCCTCTATCGTGGTACATTAACTTATGTTATTCCTTATATCCTCCTCCTTTGCTATTGATAATTCTAACTTACTTAGTTTATTTCACTCCAAGGGTATGACTTTTTAAACGGATTTAATAATGTGCAATCTTTCTCACCACTGATTTTTACTCTTCCTCATTGTGCTTGTAATGTTAATCAAAATTACCATTTAGTCTGCAATCTACTTCATGCAACTCCTATTGAAGTCCTCTTCGTGCCCTGTCTTGCCTCTCTCATTCAGTAATATTACTAAGCCACCGCCACATTGTCCATGTTGCAAAAGCATTATTCCACATGATCTGCTTCAATCTTTTGGTAGCATGTATATTATAGCCATAATAGGTAGGTTTCCAAAGCCTAGATTCTAGGGTTGCAGCAGAGATTATTTATCTCATCTCTCATCTGCCTATAAAGTTGGTAAATAATGGTTAAGCTTTTGTTTTATAAATCACCTCCATAACCAAGCCTGCGTATTGTGAGCCAACTGGCTCCGGTCTCTGCCGCATTTATCGAGTGAAATGCAAATAGAATTTGCTTTGCACTTTTATATATAATGAAAAATATAGACTTTCCTTTTTCTTAGCTCTTACGTATCCCTTAAATATTTAAGTTTTTATCTGGTTTATGTAGGACCACTTCAAACGTCTTACATTGATTTCCGATTGTCTCCAGGATTGTCACTTCTTTGTAATCCATTTTCTTTATTTTATAAGTACTCCCATGATCTATTCATCTACTTTTGTCTTATTTTGTAAGTTTTAAAAATCTATCCGAATTTATTTAGGCCACGAGCAAAGTTTGGGCAAATTTTGACATATTCCAGTCTTATGTTCATTGAAATCATATCAGTAAGGATATTGACGGCCTATATAATCTTGAATCTCTTTGTATCTTCACCATAAGCTATTTAAGCTCATCGATATCAAGTTTAAATTCAGACACGCTAAAGTTAGAATTTTTACCGCCTAAGATTTTTGAACATTTTACATGATTGGTGATAATAATATGAGAGGTAT